GCCTTACTAGTAGTAACAAGGACGCTACTAGTAACAGGTGCATCGCTGCTAGGAACAAGTGCCTTACTAGTAGTAATAAGGACGCACGCTAGTAGTAACAAGTGCCACGCTAGTAGTAACAGGTGCCTTACTAGTAGTAACAAGAAGCTATTAATTTAAATTTGACGCTGGGAGAGCTTTGAGGCCTGACCTTTCCTGACTGACATGGTGCCCTGCGCCCTGTTGCCAGGAAGAGCTGGTGGAGAAGATCAAAGCGTTACAGCGCTCCGACCCCACCTCCAAACAGGTCAGTTTCTTGAGCTGGGGGTAGCGGACTTTGAAAGCAACAAAGAACAAGCCACAGCAGAACAAGTCCAAAATACATTGACCCTGGATTATCCGAAGCTGATCTGATAGCTTGTGCGACTGGCAGACGTGGTGGGATTATTGTGATCAACACCTTGGCGGTGTGAAGGACTGCGATATGACGAATGGGAAATACCGAGCATCAATTTGATCTTGGTACAGTAAGTGTCATGTAGGTCAAACAAAGCCTTCAAGGTTTGCAGCGAACTGTGGATTTAGATGAAGGATCCCAAGCGCCATGATGAAAACACCTTGGCGGATTTCCTTGCGATCTTCGAAAGTGGAGGCACATGGGGCCAAGGCTAGCCAGGGCTTGGAAGGGTAGTGTGGAAGGCCTTTGCACTCATGACTCATAATGGAGACGTTCAACTCTTTCGATGGGGAAATTGCCGTGTTGTCCTGCCTTCGTCCTTCACAAGAAGAAATTGTGACCATTCTAGGCCGTACTATCAAATGGCAAAGCGACCAGGGCGCTGCAATTGGAAGAATAAGGAGCGTTTTCCCGCAGCACTATTCTGTGGCCAGGGTCAGTACGCAAGTTAGAAACAGGCATCAACTACAGGTGTTGATGAAGGACGGGTTGATAGACACTAGATCAAGGAGGGCATTTGTTTGCCACAGCCTTTGCATGCCTTTGCTGTACATGAACAAATTTGTATGCCGAGGTTTCAAGGGTTGTGACCATGCTCGAACTTTTCAACTTCAATGCTAATTCGGATTCATGGATACAGTCTTGGATATGAGTAGCACCCAACAACTCCCCCTTCTGAATACCTCAAATCCAACGTCCAACTCCCTCACCCGGTTGCGTCCAATGCCCCCCTGAATGCCCCCCCCATGATCCTCATGTCCTGTGCCTTGGTCGTTCTGCCCTGCCCCCAGGAATCACTCCACCTCCAAGGCCCTCCTGACCGCACGTCATGTGCCCCTGGTCCTACGGCTGAACTGTTTGTAGGGTCTAGTCTGACTCGGCAGTTTTGTTTTGGTTGACTGTTCTAGTCAAGTGCACGCACCTCGTCCCAAGACCATTCGCGTCCCATTGCCGCTTGAAACGGGTTGACATCTTTTGACACTCACGAGTGTATTTTACATCGATTCCGGACGCTGGGATTCCTGGCCAGAGCTTGGAATTTTACTTTCGCCTATATACCAAATGTGCCAAAAAGGAGTGAATTGCAGTCTGAAAGTTCTCTCAGCCTCAAGTTCTTTTGATTTTGATTGCTGAACACACTCGGCACAGACATGGAAGTGCACGCGATAGGCCTGCCGTGCCATCTCGGCCAATTGTGGCCAGCCGGCCAATTCCGAGTGGTCGGCCAAGCCCCCGCTTTGCTGAGGTGCGGACCTCAATCCTCACGGAAGGAATTAGGAGTCAATTGCCGTCTGGTTCTGCAAAACTGGTAGAACTGAGTGAAAATCACAGTTTCTATAAATGCATCGCGGAGGGACTATCGCGGTTCAAACATGCATTCCAGGTGCATTCTGATCCTTCGTGTCGTTACCCCGCCCTAGGTTCCCAGCTCTCCACACACAGTGTTTCACAGCCAACACCAAGCACAGCACTCTTTCAAACACCGATTTCGATGCTTGTTCCAGAAGCACTCATGAATTTGGAATACGAGTGCGAGTGGAATGAATACAGGCCTTTGGGGAGTTGTTTCGTAAGCTTTTTCAGACTTCCAATATCAAGCTCGAACAAGCTTGTGTTTTAACATCTATTTTCGCTTTGCAGGCTGCCCGACCTCCATTTATGGCGGCACCTCCAGCAGCGATCTCGCTCCAACCGGCGCCACCGCTGGCGGAATGCGTTAAGATGGGCCAGAGGCTCGAATCAGGGTAGACAATGCCCAAACCAACACGGAGTTCCATCGGTGCAGAAAATCGTAGAAAGCTGCAATTCTCCACGTGAAGCCCAACTGATTTGGTGAACATAGATCATATAGCTAGGCTAACTTATAGCTGTGATTCTGGCTCGAAACTCTGCGTGGGCAGGTCGTCGATTCAGTGGAAGAATGCTTGGCAGGCCCAGTTCTGAAAAAGCACCGTTGAGTTGACTGGTCATGATTCGACTCATTGAACGCTTTGAAGCAGACTGAAGTGCCCTTGATACAGGCATATTGCCAGCTCTACGGTGGAGGGTTCAATGATCCAGCTAAACACGATGAGCGTGCCCGGCCAGATTTTTGAAGAACACAATTGACACCTGGCAATTTGATTATGTACGATCATCATAAGGACACACATGTCGTGGAGAGTCATAATGCATTTAGGCGTGAAAGGCGGTCAGATAGCGCTTTAGTTTTGGCGTCGATGGGTTTTTCGGTCGCCATTGCCATTTGATTTGTAAACCATTTACACCAACGGGTCACGCAGAAAGCATTTGGCATTTGGATAGAAGAATCCCAACCGTGATGCCAGTGCATTCATCAAGAGCTTCCTCGAATACGTGGGAGAGGTTGCTTTGTGGGGCACCTAGTTCGGCAGACTCCACCAGCTGTTTTTCCAAGTCATCCACTGGTTACACTGAGTTGGTTGGCATGTCATGATCGACCTTTTTTCCAGATGTGGGCTGCAAAATCACTGCGGCTACACCATTAAAGAATGGCTGCACTGCTGACAGCCGAGGTAACCTCTTCTAGTGCACGTGTAGTTCGGCCAAGTCTGCTCAGGATTTCTTTGGCGAACATGGAGTCTGAGGAACGGCCCCAGCGGAAAAGGTACGACTTGAAGAGTTGGATCGGGGAGTTTTCAGTGGCCATGAGGTGACCAGGTGTGATAATCTTGAGCTGCAATGTGGCCGTGGCCAATAGCATGCACTTTGTTGCCGCCACTAGGGCGCATCATGCAAACTCACATGAATCACACGTGTGAATAGTTGTATGAAGGCGCCAATTTAGGTTTGGTGCACCAAGCCTTTGGCTAACCGCTGTGGGAGATTCTGAGGGGCAAGGGTTCTCCATGAGATTCTGTGGATGCGTCTGGATGAACGTTTCGAATAATTTGGCGTCTCATGTTTATCAGGGTAAAAGGAGGTTCCAATTAGGGATTCAATTCAAGTGAAGGTTCTGGGAACAAGTTCCGAGCAAAGTTTGTGAGTATACCGGCTTCAAGAGAAAGGTTCGAGAAACGCTTCCAGGTACAGGCACTGTTTCCGCACAAGGGTTCTATTTGAGATGTTTACTGAGGAAAGGTTCAAAGGTTCTAAGCAATGCAGAAAGGGTTCTTTTTCAAGTCTACAAGTCTTGTTGCTGCCTATTTCCTATCTGCTTGCATATCATATCCCATAATTGTCAAATTGACCAGCCAGAGACACAACTGTTCTCAGCTGTTGAGTTTTACATGACATTCTCAGCTTGTTTTGCGAGAAAGGGAGCTTCAAGAGTCAACTTTGATGGGACACATCAATGTGTACAGACATGTCAGTTGGGGTCCGCTCAAGAAACAGATGTGCCCGTAGCAAGACGTGTTTCAGCAAGAAGGGCACTGTTTGGGGGAACTCCTTTGGTCTTATAGTTAATTGTTAATTATTGTATATGTAGGTTAGGCCAAGCGGGGGCCAAGTGTTCCGACACCCCTCGTCACGCCGTGCTTGTCACTTTCGGGGCATTGCCATGAGCCGGGTCATTCTCAGCCAAGATCAGGCACCTGATTCTTCGTCCGTTCGACCAAAGACGGAGCCGGAACCGCTGCCCCAGGCAGGGGACAGGTGAAGACAGAAAGCTGTTCCTTCCACGGAGCAACCCTCGCCAACTGCCACTCAAGCTTCGTCCATGTCCTCAGGTCTGACAGTTGAATCTTGCATCCACAGGCCTTGTCAACCTTGATGAGCTGCAGCTTTGCACGGAGAGTCTGATCTGGCTGAAAATGGTCGAACTTCCAGATCTGCCCATGCTGAAAGAAGAACTTCTTCCCAGCCTCACGCCTTTGTCAATCCGGAACCGCTCGATGTTGCGGACAGGCGGGCAAATCGTTTTTCAGAACTCCTATTGAGGCGGAGTCGCCCACCAAAATCTCCATGACCGCCGGACCGCCGCCTCAGGCGTTTCCCATCAAGGTGGGAACCGATGGAGGTGGTGGAAGCAGAGCTCTTCGATGTGTGCCAGACGCCACACTTCCCGTGAATGAGCCCCATGGATCCA